TATTTTCAAATTTGATGTCTAAATCCCAACTGAAAGAAGAGAAAGAGCCACCTAACTTAATGGAATATGTTCAAGAAACTAAGTAGAATTGATTGGTTTTTGTCAACAATGTTGCAAGACAGAAGTTTACTGCTTCTCTAATCATTTCAAGTATGTGGGAGGAAAAAGAAAATACTCTATTATATCTTACTAGAGGCAAATGATTGGGGGTGGGCCGCGGGGCACGCATCCCCAAGAGAAGGAGAGAGGACCCCCAAGGAGTCGGCTGGGCTTCCTGGGCAGTGGCACCAGGTGAGCAAGTAGAGACAGTTGAGGAGGTGGCATTCCTAATGGCACAGGTCTTGTTCAGGTGAACAAGGCCCACACAGCAAGGGGAAGTGGAAGCTACAGCTGTGAGCAGTCATCTCTTCACTTGTAACTGCAGGAGGCCATCCTGTAAGAGCTGGGAGCGACCCTTCATGGGCTGCACGCCCCCTCCTGGGCTCTGCTCTCTTCCACATGCTCCTGGCTGAGGCGGCTGCTCACAGGGCAGGGCTGGAGCTAGGCCCAGCAGAAGGATGTTAATGGCACTTTGGTTGCCATGACGACACTCAGTGACTCCTTAGCGAAATGGGCGGGATGTGTGGCTGGCTCTTGACACCATGTGCCAAGGCTTTCCACTGATGAGTGATTTGGAGGGACTCGGGGCAAACTGTTCACTTTCTGGAAGAGGTGAGGGGCAGCGGGAGAGAGAACTAAGATTAAGTCGGCTGGCAAACTATTTCCCTACCAGGGGGCTTGGAAAGGTGGAATGGAAAGATATTTGGATTTTCCCCCAACTTTTTGGCGGTTTCTTGTTGGGCCTTGCTTTGTTACCAGGGCATTTTGGGGGCCCGGAGGTTTTCGTTGGCCTTTTGCCGGGAGGCGGCCTTTGCCCCAGTGATTGCCCCAAACCAAGATTCAAGGAGCAGTGGTTGGCACCATCTAGTGGAGACTATGCCAAGCAAATGTCTTCCAGAGACTGGTGGGACCCCTAGGCCTATGGCACAGCATCACCATTCAGGCTGGAAGGGAACTCGCTGCCGTGTGAGAATAATCAACTGCTGAGGTTCAAGAGAGGACACTGACCTAAGGACAGTGTTCAGAGGCTTAGGCAAAGAGGAGGCATGGAGACGGAAGGCACAGGGAGGAAGGGGATGCTCGCTGATCCAGGGTCCATGGAGGGGAGTGTCATGGCTGGAGGGAACTGTTGGCTGTACTACTGAGGATCTGCTCTGTGAATCTTCACCTAATCCACAGTTAAAAGCTTAACAAACAAACAAACAGGCTATCCTATTTTTGAGGTAAGAGCTGAATATTTTAAAACATCCTACATTGGAAATGATACATTAAAATGAATTTTTAAAAGGCACTTCTTATCTCAAAAGGAGCCCTGGTGGCGCAGTGGTTACAAGTTGAGCTGCTAACAGCAAGGTGAACAGTTCAAAACCACCAGCCACTTCTCGGGAGAAAGATGGAGCTTTCTACTCTTCTAAAGAGTTAGTCTTGGAAACCCACACAGGTAATTCTACCCTGTCCTACAGTCGGCATTGACTCAAAGGCTGTGAGTTTTGAGTTTTGATCTCAAAGTAGTTCTAGGTTGGGAGAAACAGTCTAACTCCGCCCCCCCCACAGTTTTCATGGGAACAAGGATGAGTATGAAAAGATGGGGGGCCTGGTTGGTCTCCTGCCCAGAATCTACAGCTTCTGCCCACTTGGAACGGCAGAGTGTTCTTGCATCAAGTGCGTCTTTCTGGACGCATTCTTCATAACACAGCTAGGGGCATCACCTTTGTTGCAGACTGTTGCTGAATTTCTGGGGCACCACTGGGCGATGTGGGAGGCCAGCCAGCCAGTGCTGAGAGCTCCCCAGCCCCGGTGCTGGAGCCTCAGTGCCAGCAGGATGGCAGGGAGCCATGGGCTGCTTTTAACCCTCCCAGGTGCTGACCGAGGACCCCTGGAGGCACAGTGATTACAGCACTTGGCTGCCAACTAGCCATTTGGGTGGTCTGAATGCCCCAGCTGTTCCGTGGGAGAAAGGCATGGCAGTCCGTTCAGTAAAGACTGACAGCCTTGGAAGCCTCTGAGGCAATGATGCTGGGGCAGAATGGGCTAGCCTGACATCTCAAGGCAGCAAGGACTGCTTTTCCAGCTCTATGGTCAGTGTGTAAGCAGCAGTTTCAGAGTGGGTAGCCCAGTGAACGGCACAGTAGGGACGAGAGACCTTGAGCATCATGCTAGTATGCTCTCAGTACAAGTGCACTGAGTAAACAACTTGAAGAAGTGCCCTGGCTGGCTTCTAGCACCCTGTAGGACCTGGGAGAGGACTCTGTTGATGGGCTAGGTCTGCTCCTGCTCTTAGACCGTCATGGGACACCATTATCAGATGAAGATACTTGGGCAGTTTGGAAGATTCCACACGCACTTTAGATTCTGCTTTTCCTGCTGGCAAAAACTCCATTTCGAAAACTGGATTATCATGGTGGCCAACAATTACGAAATAGAAGCTTCCAGACATGGTCTTCGATGTATGGTCCCTAAGGAAACAAAGAATAATAGACATTTTTAGCACTCCATCAGGAACACCAACGAGAGTAGACAGAAAGTCTTTAACCAATTAAATTAAAAAATTTTTTTTCCCGGCAAAAAAAATAAAAAAGTCTTTAACCTTTAACCTTCACAGTGTAGAAGTGGATGCCACTGAGCTTGGTGTGCTTTCCAAAAAGATGAACGTGGATATATGACTCTTGGGACACCTCAAATTATGCAGCCGTGGCAGGTTCTCTTAAATGCCACACACTAAATTGTCATGGAGCCACGGAAAGACCTCTAATCCGAAACCGTCAGAACAACCGTTTCATGAGTCCTGAGAAAGAGAGTCCAGAGAGTCTGCACCACTGGAGTCTAAGGTCCCAGTGTGATTGGTGGAGCCCACTGGGCTGAACTGGGACTGGCCCAGTCAACAGTGGGCTGTTAGTAAGGGACAAGTGAACGTGACACCGGGTCAAACAAGGAGCTTAGATGTTTCCCGGAGTGATCTGAGGGAGAAAACAACACTCCCTCATGCCACTTGCAGAGAGGAGAGAGCCAGTACCATGGAGCTACAGGCGAGTGCTGCACTTGCCTTCTTCTGACCAGAGATGTGCGCCACACACACAGTGTCAGCAAGCCCAAGAGCTCCTGCTACACCTCTTCACGCGCCAAGCTTTCAGAAAGGAAGAACGTTTTTGTATTCTAGACGAGATGGAAGGCACAATTAGCCAAGAAAGAAGAAAACCCAAACTCTCTGCTATCAAGTCAATACTGCCTTATAGCGACCCAATGGGATAGAGTAGAATGGCTCCTGTGAGTTTCTGAGACGGTAACTTTATGGGAGTTGAAAGCCCTTTCTCCCTCAGAGCTGCTAGTGGTTTTGAACAGCCAATCTTGAGGATCACAGCCCAACACATGACCACTACACCACCAGGGCTCCTCAAGAAGCAGTAGAGGTGTCAAATTAAATAATGCCAAGGGTTTTTTTGCCATTGATAATGGATGGATGGGGAGATGGACATTGGTATGTATGTATTTTTAGCTCAAGGTTCAAGTTTCGCTCAGCCACTTACTAGCAATGTGACCACAGGCAAGGTCCTTGATCTCTGAGTATCCAAGTCATCATCTGGCAAACATAAACGGCAGCGCCTGAAGAGGGGCACACGCAAGGGCAGGTGAGGCACCCCGTGCTGCGTCATCAGTGCTCTCTAGAATCCACACAGAGCAGCTCCTGCACTCGGGGCACATGAGGACAAGCCGTGTCTCTGTGTGTGGTGCGAATATGGCTCCCTGGGGATGGGCAGTCTCCCAGACCATTTTTAGGAGGTGTGTCGGAGCACCTGGGGCTCACCCAGTCCCAAGGGTGCTTCTGTTGCTTTCCCTGGAACATGCTGTGAGGTCAAAGCGGGGAGAGATCTTCCTTGAGGAAGGAGACAATTCTAGTGGGAGCAGGGGTCTTGAGAACAGGACGGTGACCTCTCCCCATGAAGAAGGTAGGCCTGAGACCTCCTGCACCTCAGTGAAATGGGACTTACAATGGTATTTGGAGGTACGGAGCCGCATGTCCCAGCATGCAGCCCAAGCCTGGCCTCGCCCATCCTGTCACTGTTGTCTGTGTACGCAGTCCTGCTCCCACAGCAGAGCCAGCAGCTGCCAGGGAGGTCATGTGGCCCACAGAGTCTAGAATAGTCACAGTTTGGTCCTTTCCAGACTAAGTTTGCTAACCTCTATTCTAGGGAAAAGATCGGAACAAAAGCCCACAGAGAAAAACTGGATCTGAGCGACAACAGGACTGATACAAAAGCTACGTGAAACTAGGAGACTGCACCGCGAATCTCAGGCCAGGAAGCAGGCTGGGCATGTGCACCCTGAGCCCCAAGAGTGGTAGTTATCATTCGCTCTTGCTGGGCTGGGCTCCACAGTGAGCACTTGGCCAGAGATGGGTGGCTTTCTTCAGTTCCAACATTGGAAAAACAGTAGTTGAAAAAAAATACATATAACGCCCACCCCGCCACCCCATCACCAACACTTAAGAAGCAGAAAGTATATGTATAAGATAACCCCTGACAAAACACACACACACACACACACACACACACACACACACACACACATCCTCTAGAGCGAAATTTAAGATGGAATGAGAAGTACAGATCTTCCCAAACAAAATAAAACAGAAAACTGTTGCTGCTGAGTTGATTTTGACTTGTGGAAACCCTACAGGTGTCAAAGCCAAACTCTACTTCACAGGGTATCCAAGGGCTGATTCTTTATAAGTTGATTGCCAGGCCTTTCTTCCCAGTTACCTTTAAGTAGACACAAAACTTTGACCTTTATCCAAGCAAGACTAGGTGCAGAGGTTTGGAGAGGGAGGAGCCTGTGATGGCTGCTCCAAGCCTGGCCAAGGTGACCTGGCACCATATCCAGATGCTGACATTATTTAGGAAGGCGTGAAACAAGGAAGGGGTGGGAGAGTTATGGAAACGAACATGCCAATTTTGAAATATATACTGTGGGTGACAGAATGACAGCTCTTTGAAAATGTCCCCGTCATCACTTAGGAACCTGTACATGCGTTACCTTAGATACAGGAAGTTCAGCTTGCAGGTAGAATTTGGTTGCTAGATATCAGCTGACCTTGAAATAGGGAGAAGATAGTGGATTTGGTGGGGGCCCAATGTCACTCCACAGGGTCCTTAGACGTGGAGGAGCGAGGCAGAAGAGGAGTCAGAGGGTGAAGGAACCAGGGAAGAATAGTCTGGAAATGCAACAATGTGCCTTTGAGGAAGAAGGGCGGCGTGAGCGCAGCTTCTCGAAGCTGAAAATGACTAAGAATTCTCCCTTGGAAAAATGTGGGACCGACCCTCACATTCTTAAAAGAATCCCGACCTACTGGACTCACTGAGGCTGGAGGACTCCCTAAGATGATTGCCCCGAGGTACTCCTAAACCTGAAGTCAAACTGCAATCTGAAGTCACGCAAAATAAATAGTGTCTCAC